TTCTTTCTTGCCATTTTTTTTATGATATAGAAAATTTCTAAAAATATTTTTAAACCATGGCAGATTCAAAAGTAAATAGAAGAAGCGTTTTTATACAAAGATTGAAAGAAATCTACGATTTAGCTACTGCTGCTACACAGAACCCAGCTAAAATTAATGATTTTAAAATACGATATTCGGCGTTAGAATCAACATATAATGAGTTTGATAGGTTGCATTTGGACATAATTTCTGATAAAAGAGTAACGGATGTAATGCTTGAGCAGCAGGAGCTAATTCGAGCGGAAGTTGATGATCAATACTTTTCAATTAAAAGCATTTATAGTGAACTTTGTATAAAATCTGAAATATCCATGATAGTACCACCTTCGCCACCAGGCCAGAGCCATAATTTGCCGCCTTACCTAAATTTTAATCTTCCCCGTTTAGATATACCTGTTTTCTCAGGCAATTTAAAACAGTGGCCGACATTTTTTGATTTATACAGGAGTTCGGTGCATAATATGAACTTTTCCGCTTCACAAAAATTTCAATTACTGCTTACTCTCGTAACCGGAGAACCGCTCAGTTTATTGAGAAATATTCCTATAACTGATGACAATTACGCAGTAGCCTACGATACTTTAATAAAAAGATACGACAATAAACGGCTTTTATCGACTCATTACTTCAATGAAATAATGAACATTTCCAAAATTTCAAATCCATCGAATCAAGCACTGCGTAATGTTGTTGATAAGTTTTGTGAAAATGTGGAGGCATTAAAATTATTGAACTTTCCTACTGCGGAATGGGATTTTTTGCTTTTTAATTTACTCTTAATGAAAATCGATTCTGATACCTTACAGCGATTTGAAATGGAGCACGCAAAATTTGATATACCCACTTTTGCGCAGTTGAAATTATTTCTGAATAACAGGTGTAAGGTTTTAGATGCGTTGACCTATACTCAGGAAGAAAATAAATCAAAAAATGCCGGAACCATTTATAATAGTAAGTCTTTTGCCAGTAACCGTCAACATAAGTCAGGTTCTAGGAATAATGGTGATCACTCCAAAGCATTTTTTACTAATACTCCTTCTAATAACGTTCCTACATTGAATTGTGGTATCTGTAGGACCCAGCATTCCATTATAAACTGCTCCGTCTTTTTAAGTAAGACTCCTCATGAGCGCTATTTACTAGTTAAACGCAACCGTTTGTGTGTGAATTGTTTGAGTTCGTTTCACAAATTTTCGAAATGCAGTTCTAATAAGACCTGTTCTTCTTGTACGAAACGCCATCATTCTTTACTACATTTCGAGTCGGCACATGGTAATGACTCTTCCGTAGATCAACCACATTGTGGCACCACTTCCATAAATTCTAATAGTGCATTTACGCTCCTTGCAACTGCAAAAGTGGATTTTCTGGACAGCCAAGGTTATTCCCACACAGTTAGAGTACTACTGGACAGTGGAAGCCAAGGCAATTTTATATCCGAAAGATGCTTTAAGAAATTAGGACTTTCCCGCTCTCGTTTGAACATTCCAATTAATGGGTTAGGTAATATGACATCTGTATCGTCGAATGGTGTTACTTGTTGTACGATCCGCCCGGTGGGTAAGAACACACCTTCTTTTCCCATAGAATGTATCGTTTTACCGCAGATTTGCTCCTACATGCCTTCTGTATCTTTCAGTCGCGAGAACTGGTCACATTTGGAGAATTTAGTCGTTTCTGATGACACCTACAATACTCCTGGACCTATAGATGCTCTCATCGGGTGCGAGTTATTCCCTTTAATTTTGTTGCCTGAGAAGGTGTGCGGTAAAGAGTTGGAACCTGTCGCATTCAATACATTATTTGGCTGGGTAGTGATGGGTAAAATTGATCGTATAAAAAGCAAGTCCTCATATTCCTGTTGCACACTATTGGAAGAAAACCGGGATATTAATAAAACTCTTCAAATGTTTTGGGAAATGGAGGAAGTTCCAAGTAGCAAGTCTTCATTAACCCTTGACGATTCCGCTGAAATTTCTTTTAACGAGACTCATTCTCGAACTCCTGAAGGACGTTTTATCGTTACTCTACCGTTTTCCAGTGGTGAGCCATTATTTTCTGACTCACGCTCCATAGCCCTAAAAAGGTTTTATAGCCGTCTTCTTAAGGATCCTCCATTATTTGAGATATATTCCAAATTTATGAAGGAATACTTAGAGCTGGATCATATGGAACCCGTGTCTGCTCCTGTCTCTGACGTTGCCCAGCGCCACTTCTACATCCCTCACCATGGGGTTACTAATTCGAATAGTACGACTACTGCATTGCGCGTAGTCTTTGACGCATCTTGCAGTCCGCGGGATCGATCTTTGAATGACACTTTGTTGATTGGTCCCAAACTACAAAATGAAATTGTAAGTATTCTGTTAAGTTTTCGAAGGTTTCCTGTAGCATTTACTGCCGATATCAAAATGATGTATCGACAAATACTTGTTAATGACAGCCACCAAGACTACCAACGTATTTTATGGAGATTCTCCCCTCGAGAACCTGTTCAAGATTTTCGCCTAAAAACCGTAACCTACGGATTAAATTCAGCTCCTTTCCTTGCTCTGAGATGTCTTTTACAATTAGCCACCGAGGGTAGAGATAGATTTCCTAGGGCCGCAGCAATTTTAGCGTCCCAAGTGTATGTTGATGATATATGTGTATCTTGTAAATCTTTAGAGGATGCTGTGGATATCAAACAACAACTTATTGCTCTATTGGATGAGGGTTTTTCCTTAGAAAATGGTCTAGCAATTGTGTTGACTTCTTAGCTACTATACCTTCAGATATTCTACAGAAACCTCTCGCACTTGACACTAAATCCGATCCTTACTTGAAGGTTTTGGGTCTCAGATGGTCTCCAGAGAAGGATATCTTCTCATACGACATACAATTTCTCAACTCGACATGTACTAAGAGATCTATACTTTCTGAAATCTCCAGAATTTTTGATCCAATTGGATTACTTTGTCCCATAACTCTATTAGTTAAGCAGCTAATGCAATCAATATGGGCGAGAGGTATCGACTGGGACAGTGAAGTGCCCGCAGATATTGCCCAAAGGTAGACCGACTACAAAAATGAATTGCCAAGTCTGTCAGCATTAGAAATACCCCGTTATTGTTTTATTTCAAAGTATGTTAGTTTAGAATTCCATGCTTTTGGGGATGCTTCAGAGCTAGGTTATAGAAGTTGTATCTATTCTCGCCTCGTGTCTCCAGATGGCCAAATTTCTACTTATCTCCTCTATGCTAAGAGTAAAGTATCTCCATTGAAGAGATTGAGTCTTCCTAAATTGGAATTAAGTGCTGCATTAATGGCTTCCAAATTGCTTAAATATGCCTTAAATGTCTACAACATTCCCGACGTACAAAATATTTATGCTTGGTCTGACTCGACTATAGTCCTAGGTTGGATAAGGTCACCGCCCTGTCGTTGGCGCACTTTCGTCTCAAACAGGGTGAGTCAGATTCAAGACAATGTAGCACCTGAACGTTGGTTTCACATCAAATCAGAAGACAATCCAGCTGACCTTGCGAGTCGCCCTGTCCTTCCGTCTGATTTAGTTGACTGTCCCTTATGGTGGGCGGGACCAGTTTGGTTGTCGCGTCCCTCCGAAGAGTGGCCCAAACACGAACTTGGTGAATTGGACGAACCACTACCAGAAGAAAGAGCGACCATTCTCACGGTAATAAAAGGCTATAATCCTGTTGGTGATATTTTGAATAGGTATTCATGCTTACAGAAAATACTTCACCTTATTACTTATTGGCGTCGTTTTCTTGGCATTCGTTTTAAAGTGGTTTCAGTGGTTAAAAAGGGTCCTTTCACGGAGTACGAGTTATTTCAGAGTCTTCTCCGCATTGTGAAGCAAGTACAAGCAGAAGCCTTTTATGAAGACATTTCCAATCTTTCGAACAAGAGTGTTTGTTCCAAGCCGTTAAGAAAGCTTGCTCCTTTCATCGACGAACAAGGACTTCTCAGGGTAGGCGGACGCCTTACTCACTCTCAACTTGATTACGATCAGAAGCATCCCGTTTTGCTTCCCAACAAACATAGGTTGACTGATCTTATAATAGAGGATTTTCATAAAAGATACCTTCACTGTGGACAGCAGGCCTTGCGCTATTTTATATCTCAACGGTTTTGGATTTTGGGTGCTAAAGGAGCTATAAAACGTATTGTCCATAAGTGTTTCCGCTGCTTTTGAACACATCCTCAGGTAATAGAACCAAAAATGGGCGATTTGCCTAGTTTCCGCATTACCCAAGCCAAGCCCTTTCAATGTACTTCTTTGGATTTCGGTGGCCCTTTTCAGATACTGATGTCAAGACATAGAGGTTGCCGTACTCAAAAGGCTTATCTATCTCTCTTTGTGTGTTGTTCTACAAAGTGCCTGCATTTGGAACACGCGGCTTCTAAAAGGAAGTCTAGGAAACATTGAGTCTCTTACAATATATATATCTTATCTTTTTAAAATTCTTATCGTTGTAAATTTTATATTAAGTGCTGAAGATATTTAACTGCTTGCTCTGCCCTGAGTGGTTTACGTAGTTTAAACAACATAAGTCACTGTCTGAAATCCAGCGTAATTGAAGACCTTGACCTATCCATCCAAGACCTGATGAGTTACGCCTCCACCACGGTAAGACAGTCTTCGAGGTTTACCCGCGGTGCGTAATAATTCATCAGATTTAAATTTTTATGCGAGGCCCTGGCTGTGGTGTGGCCACTAAATCTCCCCGAAAAGGGCTTAAGGGTTCCGCATTAAATCTAAAAATTTATGTTCGATATACGGGCCGTATACGAATGGCGAATAATTCTGTTGCGGAGGCTTCCCCTGTATTGTTTACACCCGAAACACGATATAAACGGATTATATGAGATTATTTCCGTGTTTTATGGGACCTATTGGGGGAGAGACGGCCCTACAAATTTGACGATCTCTAACACGCCCTCCCTATTTTCAGGAGCAAGTACACCATACGCGAAGATAGGAGCGGCTATAAGGTGTTTATGTGGCTCATCATCAGGTCGTTTTCGCCGGCAGACATCGGCACTTACAACTGCGTCTCTACGAATTCGCTGGGACGCGCGGAAGGAACGCTGAGGCTTTACGGTAAGATATGCCAAATTATCATATTTGTCGATCAAGCGCGAAGCTACGTAATCGAATGAATTAAGTCTTTGTGTAGCAACCGCGCCGGGACTAGTAACGAGCATCTAACTTCGAGCGACGCCAATGAGACGTCGCATTAAACCCTTTCTCGACATGAAGACGGCTTTGCTCGCGATATTATCAATTATCGGCTATTCAGTCTAATTTATTCACAACTAGACGAGGTACGATGCGCACCATTTCGTCACGACATTACAAAATGACAACTGAAATATGAAACTTCGTCGACTTTGTAAGTTTTTAATAGGTCAAACTTTAAAATTTGTTTTCCAGTGGTGTTGGTTATCAAATGTTTTGGGTTTTACATCGGTTTTAGGGGATATAAATGTTGCGTGCAAATAACCAAAAGTTGAATAATTTTTTTTTTTAAATCTATTAAAAGAAGGGCGGAAATTTTTACTCTCCATCAATTTCTATCGCTCAAAATTAGAATGGGGAAAAATGCAAAATTATAACCTAGAAATATGTTTCTTTTTTTCCTTGGTGCTTATTCACAATATTTTTACTATCAAATATAATAGCGACTTTCAGGAATATCTGAAGGGATTCGGATATTCAGATTTCTTAAAAAATTTATTCATCTATTTCGGCTAACAAAATAATTCTTCAAACAATAGGCGGCCGCCAATATTTGAGGCCTTGCTGTTATATACGAAATTAGAGAAGGTTAGAGTTGATAATATATTCTTCTTGATATATTTGTTTCATCACTATAGATTAAAACCATACAGGTTTTTGGTTAGTTAGAATAATAATAATATGCCATAATCTCTTACGAGGGGTGGGATAAAATTACCGAAGTTCATTGGTGGAAATGCTGTTGAGAAATTTGGCCACATGTAATTCTTTCTCCCTTGTTAATTTCTATTCCTCGATTCGAAGAATACGAGTTTTTAGTATGGAGTATTTTTTTATATTTTCAAGAATGCGGGTCCAATCTTTCTGTCTCATTTTTAATTTTTATTTGCACATTTAAGTATTTTACTCGTCTGAAATGGCGTTGAACCATTATTCTGTTGCAAACTTTAAACGTCAAGTTATTACATCACTTTCTAGCCTGAATTATCAATTATTGAGCATATTTCGAAGAAAATAATAGAAGGATACATAAAAAGAACTTTTGTAATTATCTTTTTGTATGAAAGGGCAATGAGTGAAAGCCCCAAGGATGTGAGAAAGCAAGTAAACATTGCAAAGATAAAGGAACTACGATATACCGTAAGACAGAAAGAACCGATGAAGGAAAAAAAAGTTGATATCAGCTTTAGTTCATCAGCTTGTTAGAAGAGAAGAGCAAAAGTGTAGATTAAAAAGATCGTACATATGTTGAGAATGTGAGCAAATGAATCAAAGATGAGACATTCAATTTTCCTCTTACTTTGCTCTTCAGTTCATAAGGTTCTTAAACTTCACCTTAGGGTACAATAATGTGCTAGCTTTCCCATTGCCACTACAGCGTATAGAGCAGAAACCATTACATTTAATCATTTCCAAACCGCCGCACGCGAAGAAAGGAAAGTTGATTAGCAGGTTTATGTGTGAGAGGGAATAAGTATTCGTTAGAACAGAAGCGAAAGGAAATTATGGAATAGAAAGAAACAATCGAACATTTGTTGGGAGTATGAACAAATGAAAAAACGAGACATTAATTCTTTCTTTTAACTGACTCATAAAGTCCATAACCTTCACTATAGGGAACATCAATATACAGAGCAGAATGGCGATACCTTGCGTCTCGTAATAACCATGGTAACGACATTTAATAGTCTTCGACCCGCAACACGTTCGTCGTATTCATTCATAAGCGCCGTTTGTTTATCAATCCTTCGCTTCTCTCGTCGACAAACAAAAGTTTACGTCGAAATTTGAGCTTCATTAACTCGGGGGGTTGGGGAATTACCCTCGCACTCGCGCTTATAGCGACAACCACGTCGATCGATCGGAATCCCGCGATAGGATCGTCTGCGGATAAACAGACCGTCGCGTTTAATCTTAACTATTATCCGGCCCCGATAATCGGCTGAGCTTGTCGAATTTCGAGGGAGACATGGGTAAAACGCCAAGCTAATAATGTCACCCTTTGAAGAAACTTCACACCCTACCGCGTTATTAATAAAATACATCACGAACGTGTCCTGCGTCAGTAGATATAATACCTGCGTTCAACAGCAATTTCGGCCGTTTTTACACGTAAATTCCCATAAGAAAATTTAAGGTTCATTGTAGTTGAAATTGGTCCCGGTCAAGGTCATTCGATCCATACCCTCTTAAGCACCAACTAACCGTCTCCCTCAACCCCAACCCCCTCCCGCAACCCCTCTCAAAACCCTCCCACAACCATCATCCCCCACCACCCCCCCAACCCTCACACCCCCATTTCACAACCCTCTCACAACCACTCAACAGATGTGTTAGTCAGGTGACTCACCTTTTTTTCGCGTCTACCGAGGATCGAACCCGGGATCCGTCGCTTGTCGACCGCAGACTTTAACGCCGAGCTAACGAGCATATTAAAACCAACGTGTAATTATGTGTTTGATCTCGAGAATGATGACTCATCTTATTCCTGCCGAAGATCGAACCCGAAATTCGTCCGTCGTTGAACGGTCACTTTAATGCCGAGCTAATTATGTACCGCCGGTTCCGTCTCGTTGCTGCTAGATGTCGTGCGTGCGCGCTCTTGACAGTATTCCTATCAGCGGCTGCGTCACCCCGGCAGGTGACGGAGACGCTAGGACGGGATGACGCGGTGATCCGGGAGTATAGGATCGACGGTAAACAAGTCGAGTGACTTATACATAGTGCCTTAATAATCAGGTACACCCGGTGTGTTCAAGTTTAATTAAAGAAAACTATATACAATAACAAATATTTATCCAGAAGGGTCTTCTTCTTCTTCTTTTGCGTCCACTTTGTCGTCCATAAACGATGTTCCTGCTGATGACGTTCTTGTTCCCGTTCTTTCAAGAAATCTATATAGGAAATACACTCCTCACCGTCTCCCTCTGTCGACCACCCACCCTGCTGGATGCGCCAACATAATGTGTGTGAAAGTTGCACACACATACCAACATTCACATTTCTACTTCTTGTCATTTAAAAGACATTAAAAACACTATATACTTCAATTTAATTTGATTATTTTTACAAGTAAAAACGCGGATTATTGTCAAACGGAGAAATCGTGTTTTTTCTAGAACAAACAAGAAACAAAATATGTATATGTCGCGTTGCCTATAAAACAGATTTTTTAAACAAAACTTTTAGTAAGTGACGTAAGTAAAGTCACATTTCTATTCCCTGTCATTTAAAGGATATTTAAAAAACACTATATATTTCAATTTAATTCGATTATTATGCAACGTAAAAAGTGGATTATTATATTGTAAAAACAGGTAGGAACTGACCAAAAAAGTGATCATTGTTTTTTTTGTTATTCACAAATCACTGAGAAAATTAACGAAAACTGAAACCCACAAAAACAAAACAAAAAAAAAGACTCGCACTGTATTAGGGTAAATTAAAATCATAAAACTTATCAGTTGTAGAGTCATAGGGAAATAGATATCGCACTTGACATTGCACTGAATATAGTCTACAATACACATTAAATATATTTATTCACATGTTCTCCCGTCCATGGTTAAATTAAAAAATAAAAATTGACTTAAAAATCGAAAGGCACACAAACGCATATTTGAATAAACACGCTGAACGTATGTTGTCACCAGAGAGCCATGCAGGTGGGAGTCTCAAGGTCCACGTGCTCAGACGGGAACGACTTGACGCACAACCGCCTCGGACGTGCAGTCTCCCGCATGCAATTTTAAAGCGTGTCGACTTTCACTTGACGTAATTTGGCAAAAAAAATTAACACCCAACAAAATTACTGATAGCACACGCAAATATATTTTGCGCCTTAAAAGCAAAGGCGATCCATCCGCCCACTAGGATATCACCGCACCGTAGTCTCTTATCTGCGGTTGCGAGGCATTGACATCGCAAATTGGTTCGAGATAAAGTTGAATATATTGAAAAATTGAATCCAATAGCACATTTAATCTTTAAATAAATGTCTTCTAGATTGATAAACACTTTTTCAAACTAGGCATTTTGCAAATCGGTCGTCTGTTTGCTGTTAACGGTAGACACGTACTATAGGTACTGGTTAGTTGCAAAATTAAAAACCAAATTTACAGGAGTCAAACTGTTTATTGACAGTGGAAAATATAATAAAAGTAGTTGGAGGTAATAAGCGAAAAATATTAAGGACTTCCGGTCATTTTTATTCTAAATATGCCCAAAATATAATGAAAAAGATCAAAATATTTAATGCATTTTTAAAATAAAAATTTAACGAGGCTGCCAGACGTGAACTGAGCCCTTAAGCGCACCTCATTCGATTTTTTAGGAAAAAAACGAAATTTCAAAGCAAAACCGAAAACACATTTATAATCAAGCGGAGACAGTTTCTTCTTCCATAATCGAATAGTGACCCCACGGTAACGTTTCTACTGACGATTTTGATATGCGACGTTTATCATCGCAAGGACTTAACCCGATCTTCTTTTGGGATACTGTGTGCAACTCCAGTTTGCTCGCTCTTATTAAATTCTGCGATATGTTTTTTTCAGCGAAATTTTGCAAACAATCGACGAAATCTTCAAAAGTTATCTTAGTTTTGATGAAGGATTTTTTAACTCCTTTGATCCTCTTCGTTACACCCAAGTTTTTAAATTCACGTTCAAATGCTTCTCGATCTGTTTCTGCAGCCATCAATTCTTGTTTTGCGGACTCCTCTTCCTCCGGTGTCTTGTATAGCTTTGTGGCGTACATTTTAGCTCTAAGTCCGATAAAATGAGACATAATTCGCCCATTGTTCTCATCCTTCATCATACCCAGAACCTTTTTATTGACTGTGGGTATACCGTACGGATTAT